TGGAAGATCTGCAAGAAATATAATTTGCCTGTAAGCAAGAACTGGTGGGATCATAAAATAGAGAAAGTCATAGAAAATGATAAAGTTAAACTGCTCTGGGACTTCAGAATTCAAACAGACAAGCACCTGCAACAGAACACCCCAGACTTAACAATTGTCGATAAGAAAGACAAAAAAGTCTGGATAGTGGATGTGGCAATGCCTGGAGACAGCAGAATAGACGAGAAAGAACTGGAGAAGAAAACAAAATACAAAGACCTACAAATAGAAATAGAAACACTGTGGCAAAGGCAAGCAAGGGTAGTACCAATAGTAAATAGGTACCCAAAACAACTGGAGCACCACTTGAACACCATTGGCATTGACAAATTGGGCATTAGTCAATTGCAAAAGGCAGCCTTACTAGGAACTGCTTCCATCCTGCGACGATATCTGTAATACCATCAAACATCCACATCTGCCTATCCCAGGTAAGGACTCGATAGTTAGACAAAAATGCCAAATCCAGTCTGAACATCTGTCTGACTGTGCAATGATTAATAATAATAATAATAATAATAATAATAATAATAATAATAATAATAATAATAATAATGTTGGAAGGGACCTTGGAGGTCATCTAGTCCAACCCCCTGTTCAGGCAAGACAGCCTCTTCATTAAACTAGACATACCCAATTCCAGCAACTTTTCCTTATATGTTTTAGTCTCCAGTCCCCTAATCACCTTTGTTGCTCTTCTCTGAACTCTTTCTAGAGTCTCAAATAATCTTCCTTTCTGTTCAGTTACAGGAGACACCCATGAGAAATTTGTTTTACCTTTTATCATATTATTTATTATTTGATTAAACTTGTCTAAAATTGGCAACTTCATGGAATTTCTCCTCATTTTATTTCCAGAAAATAACTAGTGACCGGAGTTATTCAGTAAATATGAATGTGTTATCTCCTAACATCTGGTCTAACATCTGAACCACTACACCACAGAGCTCTCATTTAGGCTGTTAAAAATAAACTTTTATTTTTTGTTGGTACTTTGTGTTTTTAAATGTACTTTAGTTAGGCAATATTTCATAGAGGGCTGTTTCTATTTCGCAAGATCTGTAAGATTCAGATCAGCTTGGATGAAAACCTTGGATATTTTTCCTTCTGAAATATGCTATTGATTGCATTAACTCATAGATGAAATTTCTGAAAGGAGACCACATATTTTGGGAGGGGGGGAGATGAAGAAGGAAAGACAACTTTCAGCTGCATAATCAGACATTTTATAGTATAATTTAAACCTCTTCTGATGTTTCATGCAATGTCCAAAACAAAGCTTAAAACAGAATTTTCAATATATATTATAGCTTCTTCATTATTTTAGTGAAGCTAAATTTCACTGCAAAAGATTATTTCAGGCCCTTCCAAAAGTTGAGAATGACATATTAAGAGTCAAAAGTTTAGTGGAACAGAAGTTTCTTTGTTTCTCTTCCACCCACAATCCTGCTTGGCATCTGACTATACTTAGCCATATTTTCAATAGTGTCAATATTTCATTCTGAAAGAGGGCTCTAAAAAGCTCAGAACTCTGAAGAAATCCTACACTGCAAATATCTAAAAAAATTATATATTCCCATATCTTCAGGCATAAATATTAGCGTTCATATAATCTTGCAGTGCACATTTAGCTACAGTAAGCATATGTATTATAGGCTGTAGTGAACTCTTTAATAATATGGGGTAGATGAATAGATCAGACTCTCATCCAATTATCTATCAAATATGTAGACTTTACAGGTTTAGTTTCCTTATCCACGACAGCAGCCTAAGTCTACAATTGGACTTCAAGATCTTTCCATCTTTGCAACTCATAATTTACCCAATATTTATTTATGAAGAGAATATTTCAATTCATGTGGCCACCACAACTTAAGAAATAAGCTTTTATATCAGTTTATTAGTGCCAGGATCAATTTATAAAACTTACTAGCATAAGAGATTTTCCTGCACAAACATTACCTTGAAGGAATGAAGGGATGTAGTTCTAGACTGCACACATAGAGATTATTCCTTCTAAGAAATACCATTGCAGCTTTATCAACATAATAAATAGAGGGTAAGGGCTGTGAATACATTTTCAGCACAATACTAAGCACAGCACAGGGGAGAACACACTTCAGTTGCAAAATCACTTTTTTTCAATCCATCATTTTGAAATAAAATCAGCTATAAACAAAATTCACAGAGACAAATTGACAAACTACAATTCTTTTTCTTCTCGAAATGTCATGCAAATGTTGGGATATAAATGCAACAGAAAAGAATCCACCCATTGGGAAAACATATCTAGATTCCTGTGCGTAAAGCAAAAATAATCTATAGTTCAACATAATAACCACAAAACATAGATTTTATAAAAAGACCATTTATTTTTCATATAAAATCACACATATTACACAGAATCATTATAACTGTCCAATTCTTATCTTCTAAAGCTATTCTGGAAATATTTTTAAAATCATCCAGAACTGCACTTGAATCTTCCCTCTTATAATGAACAAAAGATATTCAATTTCCTTTATTCAAGATACTTCTGAAAAAAAGTTCATTTCACATTCCAAGTGTCCTCTGTTTCTTTAAGTTGAAAATGCCAAAAAATGATAAACCAGATCAACGGAAGCCCTTAGGATATTTGGCTGTTGAACCCATGACTGAAGCTTTAACAAATATACTGAGTCCTAAATAAGAAACAGAGTGATCATAATGTAGGAGTAAAAAAAAAAATCTTATGGAGATAAAAGATCTATTTGAGGAATAATATAAAACTGGCACAATTGAAAAAAGAGTGTACTATTCCAGGTGTAGTTCAGAACAGGGCATGAAGCATCACCTCAAATCCAAAGGGAGGAACTATGTCCTGTTGGCCAATTATGCTTGGAAGGAACTGTCTTCTCTTTCTGGTCCAGAAGAATGGGCAAAACTAGAGAGACAGGGAATCCTCTATGAATAACAAGAAATCCCGGAATCAAAACAACCCTGAGTTTCTTTCCACAAAGAGACAATGTCAATGTGCAACAAGTGCTTGAGAAAATTCAAGCACTCTCCTGGGCTCAACTATTCCATAATTATTGCATTTAGGTATGTTTTTGTTTCTTCCTCAAACTGTGAGAACAAAAAGACATACAAAATAAAAATATGTATGAAAGTATCATTTGTGCTTCATATAATAGTTTCCTTATCACAATTTTTACTCTAGAAATAAGATGTTTTAATTATAGGCAAAAATAATCTCAAAAATTAACTCATAGTATGAAACAATAAAGGCAAAGACATTTGACAAAAGTTGTGGTCTGTCAATTTAAATGACATCTAGGGTCATGTCATAAATGTCAAGTGTAAAACAGTTTGCTATGAAGAAGTCTTTCTGAAAAAATGATTGGTCAGTCAGCCAAACCATTTGCTAAGCCTCCTAAATAGATCCAAACTCAAACCATATTGGCTTTATAAACTTTCCATGTCACAGATTTGCAGAGACATCTCTAAACTCTTAAGATACAAATCTTTCCAGGAGCATCCATTTGGATATCCCAAAATTACAATTGCAATCTTATGATCACCTTGATTAGGACAAAGCAGTAGAAATAAGGACTATAACACAGCAAAGAAGAACCAAATCAATTTTGAGCAGATATTGTGTAGGTAAAATCAGACAGTCCTCTAATAATACTCCTTGAAACTTCCATGAAAGATATTTCCAATGAGGTTTTAGCCTGAAGCTCAAATACCTTGTTTAAAACTGTAAGGTGATATTCAAAAAATTATAAATATGCACTTAAGTCAATGCAAGCTAAATGGGCATTTATGCACAATGAGCGATCTGTACACATTTTTCCATTTCTTAGATGAATATACAGAAATGACAGCAATAATCATTATTAAATCTGTACGCATGTCTTCAATTTGTGTATAATGTACATTCAACTCATATTATATCAGTATATTTGGAAGATCAACATTTTCTGTTCAGTCTAAATCATTTTGAAAAATGATTCATATTCTTTTACTTCAGTATAATCTCTTAGCTTGATTCAAATCATACTATGTTTAAAGCATAATGATTTTATTATACTTTTATTCAGACTTCTTATTGCTTAAAAATACTAGCTGTGCTTGAAGATGGACTGTCCCAAATCTCAGGACAACCTCGTGGCTGTGGGATAACAGCATGTGGAAGACAAGACCTAAGGTCTCTCTGTATTACAGCACCAAAAAAGAACCCTCTGTAGAAAAAGAGGAAAAATATCTGTGGGAAAATTATTACCTTCCTAGTGAGTACATACAGTAAATGGTACACTGAAGGGAACAGCCCTTGGCATTGTGTCATGCACAAAGAAACATCTGGAAATAGGCATTTTCCTTTACTCCTATCCAATCCTTTCCATCCATCTTTCTCACCCTTACCCTGCAGTGCCAAGTCTAGTTGAAGTGGCAAGCTGGGAATCTGATCATTTGTTTGCTAAACAAAAAGAATCCATGGCAATGTGTACTTGACTTTATTACAGTTCATTCCACATTACTGTTGTGATTAGTCAGGGTCTGCCCCCCAAATTAGCCATGTGTGGATAAAAAGGATTCCTAGGCATTTGGTCACTGAATTAATAATGTAGTTTTCTTTAGAACATTTAGCAGGCTCCATCCAGTTTCTGAAGTGTAAGTAATTACATAAAACCCACCAGCACGAAAAGAAGAAACAGGAAATCTGATGGTGCTTTTCTAAAGATTTGAGTCTCAAGCATATCTAACTGAAAGATAACAATTGTGCTTCTCAACAATAAATCAGAATGGAGTGGGCATGGTAAGAGCAAATTTATACAAAGTACATTTTCTAAAAATCAGTTTTCAAGGCTGCTAAAGCAGCATCATTTTTAAAAACTTTTTAAAAAAATGAATTTGAATCTCACCTAAGACACAAGAGGGATTTTCTCTTAAACATACTGTATCTAAAGCACAAAAACATTTCCTTCCTTCTCTAGAGATGTTACCTAGAGGTCACTTAGTTATAAGGCAGACTTTTTAATTTTATGCAAACAATTTCAATTCCACCCTCCTATTAAATAAGAAAAGGGTTTCGTTTTTGTTTGTAAATCACAACTTTTGGTAGTGGATCTTATTTAAAAGTCTGTGGAACAGTTTTCCTTTGAAATAGCTATCCGAATAAAAAGTGCCATTGGAAAAAGAGCTAAATGCTGACAAACACAACATGTGTTCTCAATGTGAAACATTGGTAGAAAAAGCAGCTCCAGATCCAGAACAAGGTCAGATGGTTCTGTTGGTTCACCACACTGAAATCTGAGTAAATCTGGCCCTTCCAAAATCCCTCTGTCCCCAAAATAAGGCCATCCATCTCTCTTCTTCAGTCCATTTCCATAGACATAAGGCGCCGGCGCTCTCGCCTAGTTTCTTGAACTTCCTTCTTACAACACCAACGGGAACTACAATAGCCAATCAGACAGGATAAAAGTCCGATAACTGAAGATAGACCAATGCCAATCAACAGTGGAAACTTGAAAGCATTCAGCACTGAGAGAGAAGGAGAAAAAAAGTAATGTTATAGACAAATCACACGGAGCAACAATTTTTTTAATATGAAAAGAAAAAGAGTATTTCTAATCTAATAAGAACTGAGTTTTTTGTATTATTTGTTCAAAGGATCTCTTTTTATCCCTTTCCTTCTTTGAATTTGACCTGGATTAAGACCTAGATATTTCATATTCAATATGACTGGATAGCTGTTTACTGGAAACTAATTCTGAAACCAAATTGTCATTTCTTGTCAAGCAAGAGATATAAAATGACATATTTGTAAGATGGGCTAGCTACCACTAAGAATATAAACTACATCGCCGTACAACCAGTTCTATCTAAAATTTGGAAATCTTCTATTCCATTTGTTTTATTCTCCTTTTTCTCTGTCAACTAGGGAGTTCTTGAATTAATTTTTTTAGTATTTTTATTATTGCAAGATACTGTGGAAGGTACTGATATTGCTGCTATTGTTATTGATCTATCAATTTAAAAAATCATATGGTAGAAATTGCATATTGCCTTGGAATTTTACTGAAGTATAAGAAATCAGGGAGGCTAGTGGAGAGATGTTTGTATAAGGAAAGGCATATATACTTGTCTACCTTGCAACTAAAGGCTGAGGGTAGGGAATTCTTAGAAAAAAGGTAAAGATTCTACCCCTCATCTAATCACATTCAATCCTTTTTCTTCTTAGAAAAAAATGGCAAGCATTATTTCCTTATCCAAATTGCAATATACAATAAAACAAAAACATAGAGGAAAGATTTGACACAGCCTTCTTTCTATTAGACTGTATTTGTTGCTGCTACATGATATAAAAAATCTTGACAGAAAGTTAAGGATAAATTTTCAGTGAGAACACTTACCATCCATCTTCACAGTTACAAGAATTGCTTTAGATTTTATTTCCTTTTCTTGTTGCCAAACACCTGTAGCTGACCGCACCCAAGGTGTTACCAAACAAAAGTGGTTGCCAAAATCATGGTCTTCACAGCCATGAACTCTAAGTCGGAACTCCATAGGGAAAATTCTCTCTAAGCTGAGATCGCTGCTCCCATTTCTTCTTGCCTGTGTCACTATCCCCTTCCGATCTAGCGAGGCTAGGAAAACAGGTTCTTTGTCCATTGCAAAAGAGCGTGTGGCAAACCAGGAGACATCAAATGACATGTCATCTGGAATTGAAAATACAATAACAACCCCCAAAATAAGAGCAGGCATAATAACCACCGTTCTCAAGAGAATTCTTGGAAATTTTAGGAAGGTATATACATTTTATTTTTCTCCTTCAAAAAGTTAACTCTAGTGGATTGCCCAAGCTTAGTTGAATTCAGTGTATGACTGAGAATTTATAATTTATAAATGTTATAATTTTAAGCAATAACTTCAGTATTAAACTTCCTACCAATAGAATAAAGGATTAAGATGATTTGTGTCAATAATTCTTTCTAGACCAATGTTTTTAGGCAAGTGTCAAGGAGAATAGCAACTGAGCCATTATATAATAACTAAATTCCACTGCACTTATTGGTCCATCACACAAAAGTCAACTTGAAGTCACCACCACCACAATTACTTTGTTTCTGTCCCTTAACTTCAAAGGGTTAGGCATTTTCATGAACTTTCCAATAGACTGTGTAGACTCTATTATGATCTTTCCTTATTGTCATTATCACTACTAACTCCCCTTTTTTGTAGGATAAAATGATCATCTCTGAGAATGGGACTAACAGATTTGAGCATATTAAATGTTACTAATTAAACTGACAATATTTGAGTCAGTTCAAAGGCCTACACTTTAGTATAGTCATGGTATACTACTTTTTGCAATTTAAGAAGTCAGTTTCCACATCTAATTTATAATGTTGTTTACCTTCCAATCCCATTGGTTTTTTAAATTACCTGTAAAATACCTTATTTTATATGTACCTGTCCAAAATTCTTCAGATGCTTTGCCGAAAATGTTCTACCAAAATTGATGTGACTGTTGGAGGGCCAGCCGAACCGAATCCGCGCGAACACAGGTAAGGATACATGTTAGATCCTACCTAGTGGCGATGAGAGTGGCTAGGACTAACTACTATTCCTCACTCATCGCGTCATCAGATAGTCGCCCGGCCGCCCTCTTCAGGGTGACCCGCTCCCTCCTTCAACTGAGGGGGGGGGACCCCCTGGAGGGGAGG